AGAGATGTTGGTTGTCATGAAATAATAGTGTTAATTTCATTGAGGAAAAGATCATTATAATTTTTGCCCTTGATATTACAACTTTTTCTATCTTTTTTTCTTACACAAACAAACTTGACTTTTTAAATAGTGGAGAAATTATTTTTCTGGAGAGACTTCTATTAAATGTCAATAGGTCTAGGATAATGCATTGAAGGTGACTTTCCCCATACAGCACTTTGCAAGATATTAGTCAGGGTTTCTGCCTACCTACCTGCCTGCTTACCTATATGTTTCTATGAATACTTTTCTCCAAAGAGCAAATATTACCAGTTTTTATAAATCCATTGGTGAAAAGATCTCTTCTGCTTTTAATTCATCTTGTCCTATTGCATTAATTTGTTTCTTTTAACTAGCTTCTTATATTTTTCATTCTAGAGTAACATTAGTAAGGAAGCCAAGTTCAATTCATTGAGAATTGTCCAGAGTGACAATGGCATGACATCTGCATGTCTGCAGATAAGAAGCAAACTATGGGTTACTAACTTTAAATAAAATTAGAGATTGCTTTTCCAAGAATAGGCCATATCACTCTACAAGGAGATGGGGTGGCTGCTCATGTAGGGGGACCTGAGGTTACCAAAAGACTACTTCTAAAGTCATTTGTTTGCATCTCTGGACACATTTTGTTGCAGAAGAAAGTATTGTCTTTGGGAGGAATGCAGTTCGCTAATCTAACAAGTGTAGTTAAATCTCTCATCTGGAGCATGTGCTGAACTTACTATTAAGTGGACACAGTAGTATCAGATGGCCTGTGAGACAGTTGTCATCTTAAGCCCAGGACTGAGGCAGTGAAGTTGCCTTCCACTGGGCTCCCCTAGCACCTTGAGTCTGCCCATTCCACCAGTCATCTCCCTGCCTGTGTGCTTCACTAGAGTGGGAGTTCTTTAGGGGAAGGACTGCCTTTAATCTCCACAGGCCCTGCACCCAGTCTAGTGCCTGGGACATACTGAACGTGGTTGGACCCAGCAGTTGCTAACTGTGCATTAGGGAATAACCAAATGAGTGGATATAATTCTGACTGGATTGGGGTGGGAGAGGAGGTTGGGTGTGGCCCAGGGAGTTGCTCCAGTTTAGGTCCTAGGGCACAGAAAGACAAGGAAGAAAGGAAAAGTGCTCTAAGGACAAGAATAAATTTTGTCAAAATATTGTAATTTTTGTTCAGTGTCCAAGAGTGAGTATAGTCTTTTACTAAAGTAAACTGTTTATGGTAAAGTGTTCAAGTAGGGGTTTATGTTTTATTCAGTAGCTCCTTGTGCAGTCTACGATGTCCTCATTCTGAGTTTGTGGTTCAAGCCTTTCCTTTAATATGGTCTCAGTCAAGTCTTTCTTCCCACTCTGTTGCCCATCTGTGCTGTCCTCATACCATGCTGGATAGCTGACCACAGGGGAGCTGAGAGGGCAGGGCTTGGGGAAGCCACAGTCCTGAATCCAGGTTCTACCTACATCACAACTTACTGCCTCTAAGCCATAGAGCAGATTATGTTGCTTCTCTCGGTCTTAGTTTTCTCATTTTAATAAAACACTTTGAACTTTGGTTTTCCTACCTTTGATAAAATCTACCTTGTGGGATCATTTTAATGATTAAATAACATAAAATATATAAAGTCCACAGCACGGTACCTAGCAGCAGGGAGGCACATAGTAAAGTTGGTGTTTCCCCATCCCTTCATCCCTCTCTCAGCCTGGTACGTCAGAATTTACTTCCCCAATTTAACTCCTATTTATTGATCCTTTGGGGCTAGTTCAAAGACCACTTTCTCCACAAAATCTTGTAGCTGTCATCTTCTTCTGAATACTTATGGTACTTATCACTTTCTTCTTGGTGGCCCCTTTATTGCTGTGTTTGATTTCTCCACCTACAAGTTTCACGGGGCCAACTGCCTACCTTTTAATCTCTTGTTCCCCCAAAGCATTGAGTACCTCTCATGTAAGAAGTGCTAAAATAACGAGCTGATATATGCCAAAGAACTTCCATATTTGGGAAATCATCACTTGATTTCTCTTAGGATGAAGTGGTATATGTAATCCATCTTTCCATTTTATACATTTTGGGAGTAGAAAAAAACCCAGGCCTCATTGCAAGTAGCTTACACCACCCAACATCCAGAGAAATCCCTGAAAATAGTTACAAATAATGACTAGTCACATGAGCAATTATGATAAAGGACTGCTCAAGGGCTAGTCACATTTCTAAAATTGTGAAAAGAAATGGCTTAAACAGAGCCCCCTCCTGAAGGCTGGCTAGTCCACTATTTCCCAGAACGTCTTATCTTAATTGTACTTCTTAAATTGTACAACGTGGAAGTGACATAAATCACAGTTATTATTTTCTGTGAGAGGGGAGAGGCCTTTGACAGTTTTAAGAAGTCCCACATGGTGGTTTCCAGGTCTGAGCTTCCTGAGCTTGTGCTGAGTCTTTTAGATGGAATCTTGGACATAGGTTTAAGCCAAGCCTGGCTGCTCAAGGATGCAGCTGCCAAAAGGTGTGGTTTGAAGTGTCTTAATGGAGACTTCCTATTCCAAAGTATCCTTTCTATGAGTACTGAGAAGGACTGCTATGGGTTAGAAGACTAATCTTTCAGAGGTTCTTATTCCAGGTGAAAGATAGCACCCTAATTGGCATTTCCAAAACAGTTCCACGGCAGGCTTCACGGAAGGATGGGTTTTCTAGCCAAAGAAGTCTGGGAAATACTGTGAACTTCATTCCTCTTTATGACTCACTATATGCTGGTGTGCACAGCAGCACTTAATGCTCCAAGGCACATGGTAAAGAAGCCTATTTAGCTTAACTTAGAAGCTCTCCCACTTATTTAACTATAAAATCAATCTTGCTATTGTTTTTCTGAGTTGTTATAAAACTCCTAGTGACATGATATGAAACTATATTTCATAGAAGGCAATTTTAAAATACTGTCTTAGTTACCATTAGCTATCACCATGATGAGGATACATCTTCAGCTCAGAACAGAGCACAAAGGGATATTCATGGAGGGACAGGGAAGTCAAGAGAAGAACAGGAAATGTTTAAGGTGACCAGTGAGGGCCCCCGAACACAACTGCACCTTGTACCAGGGCCAGCCATGGTTATCACTGCAGACATGATTTTGACTCTTTTGCTGCCTAGAAAGGCCAGACAGTATCAAGTGAAATCATCAAATTGGAAGTAGCATTTTGCATCTTCATGTGATCTGGTGTAGGGAGGAGGAGAAAGGGGGCATTTGGACAGCAATGCTTGCTCAACTGAATATGAAAGGAGAGAATAAAGAAACCGGGTAAGGGAGAAATGGGGCAACTGAGGCAAGAAGGAGGCAGAAGCTGCCCTGGCCAAGGGAACCTCAGGGTGGAAAGCAAAGGACAGAATGGAGTAAAGAAAGTGATAGGTCATGACAGATCAGGTAGAAGTTAACAAACCTACCTGCCACCTGAATCATGAAACTGAGGCTGGGGCTCGGGAGGTGCTAGAGGAGTGAGCAACTGATAAAGTCAGTGAGTCCCAAGATTTGGCTTCTCAAGCCAACGGCCACTAAAAATCAAAGTGGTCTGAAGACGTAGAATGAAAAGAACAGCTTGAGCAGGGGCCTTCCTATAAGGTAGGGGTTGCTGTTTCTGTCCTCTCAGTGGGGGGACACTTATTCTCAGAGGTATTTTCTGCTCTTGGGGCTCTGACTCCCAACGGAGTCTGCATTTCCCCAGGTTGTTGGGAGGGCTCTGGGGTACAAGAGGGCCCAGCCTGAGATCCTAATTTGAAAGTCTGCTGCTGTAGGGAATATCACAGTGGTTACTCGAAAGCACAGGGACAGCAGCAGAGAAGGACCTGGGTGTTGTGCAGAAGCCAGAGTAGAGAGGGGCTGCGAAGGGGCTTCCCCTTACCAAGGGCTGTCAGCTGTTCTTGCATGCAAAGCAACTAGGAACTCTTTGGCAAGCTAAGGCAACTTAGAAATACTAGAAGCTGAAAACAAGATATGCAACACATTTGGGAGTATCTGTCACACTGAGGGATACAAATAGCTGATTCTCCTTGTAGGTACCTTCTGATTTCTTGTCAATATCACTATAAAAACTCATGTCAAGACCACAAGTGTTTTCATAACTTACACATACTATTTATTATTCAAAAGGTAGAGGTATGTGTGGGATGAGATGGGGGATAGAGCACTAGGACAACTCCCTTCACAGGAACGCAAGGTTTCCAAATTGCTGTTCCATGGTGAACTTATTCCAGAATAGTGATTCTGACAGGGGCAAGGTTGTGCTCTGGGATAGGGCCTGGGATTCATCAGTAAATACATTTAAGAGTAAATCTTTGTTAGACTTCATTTACCCAGGGGAAATGGTAAAAATTGTATGCCCAACCTCAAGACGGTGAATCTCAATACATGCAATTCTACTGGTTGGACTGCTGACCCTGGGCTCTCAGAGTAATGCCCTCAGATGGGTCGGTTGGAACTGTAGGAGGTAAGGGCATGAGCCTATAGTCCCCTCAGCCAGAAACAGGTCTGTAGCTGGTGTGGGGTCTAGGAGTAACTTTAGGTGGCTTAGTGCTTTGCATAAATCAGAATATCACCTGAATATAGTCCCCTCTCTGAAATTAAGGGCATATTAAAAGACTGTTGGATGAGTGTGTTTCTATATGTTTTTGTGAACATGTGGAGGAATGAATGCTTACACAGTATGTGTGTGCTCATGTTTGCACTGCCGACACCATTTCTTTGAGTGTGTTACACAATTGAGATGGCTTGGATTGTTTGAATGGAATAACATGATCACCCATGGTATTGCACGTCTCCAATTCCAAATAAACACAATGGCAAAAACTAGACAAAAATGCGGAAAGAATAATAAATCACACAATGTCACTGAAGTCATGCAAAGAGGAAAAAAGAGACTTAGAAATGGGCAAGCAACAGACACCATAAATGAAAAAAAGCTAATGCATACAATTCTAAAATCATTCTTACCTTCTTCAGTCATTGTGTCATAATATTTTAGTTTTCCATATGATCCAAGTTCTACAACATCACAGTAAAAGACACAAAGATAAGGAACGAGCTGTAATGCAAGAACTTTGTTTTTACACATTCTTAATTAATCAGATTCAGAGTTATACTGTCAAATCCCTCAATCGTAACTATATAGAGATGTGCAAACATGAACCATGTGGCAGTCAGCTTTCATGTCCCATTTCAGAAATCACTTAAAATATATTATTCCACTGTGGGTAGGATGTGCCCACATTACAGAATAGGACACAGTGATTTTAACATCTGATGAAACAAGAATACTTGGCAAAGATAACTTCATACCAGGTTTAGCCTAGCCCTGTAATTTTTACAGGTGACACTCCAAAAGAAAAGGCTGGATGAGGATGATGTCCAGGCTCACTGAGGCTAGTGAACACTGGATTCCTTGACATGGAACAGCAGTCCCAGAAGTTCATGTCACGGTTCTTCTGCAATAGAACAACTTCCTAGTGATTAAGGAAGGCTACCTGGGAAAACCAACAATGAAAACCCTTCATATTCTTATCTAGCATTTTAGACAGAAAACACTGAATACTATGGGTACAGCATTTTGAGAGGCACTGTGAAAGGTACAGGGTGCTCTGGGAGGAAGAGGAAAGTATATTTCCAGGGAAGACCACCTGGCTCAGACAGGTGACAGAGCAGTCACAACTCCCAGATCAAGGCATTGCCTGCCTCTCGTAGACTGCCGGTGGCAGGAGGTGACCAGCAGCCTCTCCTGTGTGCAGATCACCAAAGGACTTCCTGGGCAGAAAGTGAGCTATCCTGAGTCAGCTGCTAGGAGTGGCAGCTTGGGGTGGGGGGTGGGGTGGTGGGAGGAGGTGGGAATGCACCATTTCTGCTTTTTTCTTTTTACTTCAGTTCTGAAATAGAAACTTTGTTATTATTCATCTGAAAATTTCAGATTTTTAAATCAACACTGTAAGCAAGTTAAAAATTTTTTTTCTGATTGTAATAATACTCTCACCATAAACAAAAAGAAATTAATTAGACTCAAGAGATACCCTTATGATTCAGTAGAAAGCTTCCAAGGCTTATTAACTTGGGCAACCATGGAAAATCCACATATGAATTAACTAATAATTGGTGAGTTTTGTGTTTGTGATGAAAGCTCGAATACACAATAATATTCTTCTATTTTATATTTCTATTATGCATTCTATATATATTATTTTTCCACGTGTCTAAAATTTTCCCTAAAGCTATTTTAACACACCGATCCAAACTTATGCTTTGGGGAGAAAAATCACCTCATCTTTATGTTTCTGCAGAAAGCGGCCTATTTTGGATTTTGTCAGATGCTTGACAAAGGATACAAATGCTTCAGTAAAAAGTAGAATTTTGTGTAAATAACATGGAATTAAAAAAATGACTTCTGGGAATCACCTTCAGTAAAATATATAATTTCTCAGGTATTTTAAGAATAGTTTATTACATACATAACACTGCACAAGTTTGGATTCTTAAGTGATCTAAATACCTTCATAAATATTAAACATGTGCTCATGGTGGCTTTACACATAATATATGTGTGTGTGGGTGGCTTGCAGTAAATTGATGGATTATATCAGCCTACTAATGTTTTTGTAACCTCTACTTCTTCCCTGAGGGAAAGCAGCAGAATAAGCAGCTGGCATTCTCTAGTATTTGCTCAAGAAACAGAACGTGGGTGGCTCTGTGTTCACAAAGTGGGGTGTACACCATATTCTATGCAGTGAAGATGCACCAGTGCCTTTTTAAATGAATCTTTTTATCTGCAAACTGTCTATATGCACACATGTTTTCCTGTATTAATCCCAAATTTTTAAGCATTTGCTTGTGGCAGAAGTGATTATTCTTTACTTGTCTTTTGTGGAGCCAGGTATAAATAAATATAATCATATCCTTTATTTTGTTTTTATGTACTCAGAATTGGAACTGTTTGTGTCTGGTATAGTTCACACATTCTTACTGCTATGATAATGTCTAGATTATTTCTTGGTTGCTTCCTTGGATGGTGAATTGGACAGAGTGACAAGAACTAAACAGAACATATCAAAAATAGACTAAAAATGGTAGAAGAGAGGGAATAGAGTAGTGAAAACTGAATAGCCAACAGGCGGTGTAGCAATGCAAAGCGCAGTAAGGAAAGAGGGCAACAGGACAACACCTGCCCGAGTGAAGAGAATGTGTTTGTTCCTTACGAAAGAGAAGGCAGAGAAGGATGTGAAGAAAACCAGATTGCTAGGACAGGGTCTTTTTTATTGTTTACTTTTGACTTTAATATAATTTAATCGTACTACTTTTTAATAACACTATTTAACAGTCAGCTTGCAAAATTCCTGAAAATGCAGCAGGTTGGCTCTAGCACACCACTTTTTAAAAAAAATATATTTTATTGATTATGTCATTACAGTTCTATTTCTCCCCTTCATTCCCTTCCACCGTGTACCCCCCTCTCCGCACCATTCCCCCCCTTTAGTTTATGCCCACATGTCTCAAGTTCATTAGATTCTATATTTCCCCTACTATTCTTACCCTCCCCCCTATCTATTTTCTACCTACCATCTATGCTACTTATTTCCTGTACCTTCTCCCCTCTTCTCCTTCTCCCACTCCCCTGTTGCTAACCCTCCATGTGACCTTCATTTCCATGGCTCCGCTCCTGATCTAACTGCCCTCTTAGTTTGCTTTTGTTTTAGGTGTGGTTCTTAATAACTGAGTTTGCTGTCCTTTCACTGTTTATCTTTTTTATCTTCTTTTTCTTAGATAAGTCCCTTTCACATTTCATATAATGAGGGCTTGGTGATGATGAACTCCTTGAATTTGATCTTATCTGAGAAGCACTTTATCTGCCCTTCCATTCTAAATGAAAGCTTTGCTGGATAGAGCAATCTTGGATGTAGGTCTTTGGATTTCATGATTTGGAATACTTCCTTCCAGCCCCTTCTTGCCTGTAAGGTCTTTTTTAAGAAATCAGCTGACAGTCTGATGGGAACTCCTTTGTAGGTGACTGTCCCCTTATCTCTTGCTGCTTCTAGGATTCTCTCCTTCATTTGAATCTTGGCTAATATAATGATGATGTGCCTTGGTGTGTTCCTTCTTGGGTCCAACTTCTTTGGGACTCTCTGAGCTTCCTGGATTTCCTGGAAGTCTATTGCATTTGCCAGATTGAGGAAGTTCTACTTTATTATTTGTTCAAATAAGTTTTCCACTTGTGGCTGTTCCTCTCCCCCTTCTGGTACCCCTATAATTTGGATGTTGGAACATTTAAAAATGTCCTGGAGGTTCCTAAGCCTCTCCTCATTTTTTAAAATTCTTGTTTCTTCATCCTTTTCTGTTTGGTAATTTTTTTCTTCCTCCTGGTCCACTTCTTTGATTTGAGTCCCAGTTTCCTTTTCATCACTTTTGGTTTCCTGTGCATTTCCCTTCATTTCAATTAGTTTAGCCTTCACATGTTCATCTAATTTGTGACCAAAATCAACCAGTTCTGTGAGCATCCTGATCACCAGTATTTTGAACTGTGCATCTGAAAGTTTGGCTATTTCTTTATTGCTTAGAGTTATGGGCTCTGGGGCTCTGAGTTGTTCTTGAGCCATGTTTTGATCTGTTCGTGCCTGTTATGTATGAAGAGCAGAGCCTTGGTTGTTCACCAGGGTGGGGCCACCCAGGTTGCTGGTTTGTGACGTTGTATGTGGGGGCGGGGTCAGAGAGGAACAATGGCGGTTCCCTCTGTTGCTTCCTGCTGCTGGGGCCTGTGCAGTTGGTCTCACTGCTCACTCCTTCACTGGTCCATCCACAAGTGAATGTGTGACCATAATCAGCCCTCAGTTGGTCCACCACCTTGTGCCCTCAGTGGGTCTGCTCGCTTCTCCACACCTGGGATCTGCCCACAGCTGCTGGCACACCTGGGTCGTGTGCCTGGGTCAGTCCGGTGGATCTTTCCTGCCCGACCCCATCTGCTGCTGGCTCTGCCCCTCTTACTGGTTTGGGTGAAGGGTTCGTTGTTGTCAGACTTCCATGTAGTTTAATTTTCTGTGGTTTGGCTGCATTTTTGTTGCCAAAACTTTGTTGTTTTTAAACTTAGTTGTGCAAGAAGGCGCAATGCTTCCACCTATGCCTCCATCTTGGCAGAAGTCCTCCTTCACCTGTTTATCTGCGCTTGAATGTGTGACAGTGGTCAGCCATCAGTGAGTCTACCGCCTTGCGCCCTCAGTGGGTTCACCCGCTGCTACTCCACACCTGGGATTCACCCATGGCTGCTGATGCACCTGGGTCGCATGCCTAGGTCGATCTGGTGGATCTTTCCTGCCTGACCCCGCTCTGCTGCTGATTCTGCCCCTCTTACCAGTTTGGCTGAAGGGTTCCTTATCGTCAGACTTCTGTATAGTTAAATTTTATGTGGTTTGGCTGCATTTTTGTTGCTAAAACTTTGTTGTTTTTAAACTTGGTTGTGTGAGGAGGCACAGTGCTTCCACCTATGCCTCCATCTTGGCAGAAGTCTGACACCACTGTTTTTTTGATGTCCATTGATATGGCTCTTGTATGCAGAAAAGCCTATTTATTTCTTTATTTTTCTCTTTAAGTGTATTTTATTACGTTATTACAGTTGTCCCAATTTTTTTTCCTTCTGCCCCCTCTGCCTGGTACCTCTCTCCCTTCCTGAAATCCCTTCCACCCTTTAGTTCATGTCCACAAGTTGTGTATGTAAGTTTCTTGGCTTCTCCATCTCCTATAATATTCTTAACATCATGTCTATTTTGTATCTACCAATTATGTTTTTTAATCCCTGTACCTATCCCCAATTTTCCTCATTCCTTCTCCCCCACATTGTTCCTTCTCTGATCCCTATCCCACATACAGCACCACAACATAGTGAAGTGGCTGCCCCACCCTGGCAAACACCTAAGGATCTGCTCCTTATAACATAATAGATAGGTGTGCTGAGACAAAGAAACATGGCTCAAATGAAAGGACAGGTCAAAACTCCAGAAAAAGAGCTAAGTGAT